CTTATAACCTCTAGGGCAGGCCATATCACCTCTTCCACCAAGACCCATGGTCAGCCCAATGGACACCCACACAGCTCTCTTCTTCACCCTTCCCATGGTAGGTGACACTTTACATTAACTCCTTCCATGTCCTGATGCTTAAATGTCTGGTTGGCCCATCTACTCTGCTGCAGCATGTTAACCTGGATCCATTCTGCATAGCAGTCTCCTTCCAGAATTCCCACCAAAGACCAGAACACAGGCCCACATGGCTTCCGTTTTCATATCAACTTAACTCCCACCCCAAGAATTATGGCTTGCAGCAGGGAACCAGAACATCAAGTGTGGCCTCTGCTGTCCCTCCATCTGCCCCCTTCTCTCTCCCACCTACTCTTCTAACTTGAGGGCTTTCCTTCACCTCCCTTCTTGCCAGCAAGGGCTTCTCCCTACATCATTCCTCTTGACTCATCTTCTCCCCACATCTTCCCCAGGGCCATAATGATGATATATATGGCTGCAGTGAACTTGATTTACAGGGAAAAGGAAGGAAAACACATCTGTCTACTCTTTTCAAAACACTGTATCCCTTGAGTTTGCTTCTCCCAATAAGTTTGCTTCTCTCTGGCTAGTTCTTTTTGGGTGGTTTTGATGGTACAATAGTATAATTTACCCCAGGTTCTATGCTACCCAATCTTTACCATTTTCAGAATAAATACAATTAAAGATTTAAAATTTTTTCAAAAACTTTAGAGAAGCAAAAAATAGATATCTACAAGTTTATGAGAAATTTTGCCTCTTAAACTTGGGAGATGTTAGAAAGAAATGTCCACTTTCACCTCTTGCCCTTCTTTCTGTGTGCTTGGTTTTCTTACTACAAATGTGTCTTCCGGGAAGTTCTGTGACACACAGTTACTGTACATCTTCAATGCATGGAGCCCTCACATGTTTTTCATGCCCATAGAAATAGCTAAGAGACTTCCAGGCTGCCCAGTGGCCACAGGACACTGATGTCTATGGTATACTCTCTATTGGAATTATTCTGAGGCCAAATTCTTATGCATATGGAAAGCTATGTGTTACACTAATTTTTTAAAAATTCTATACTCCTCAATAAATAGATAAAAGATTTTTAAAGTATTGATCAGATGTAGATAAAGCAAAAACTCAACACATTAAATTTATAAAATATATTAGCAAGTTGATAAACACAATCAAGAAAGAAATCAACTAAAACTAGACAGATACATACAAAAAAAATGAAACTAGACCACTTTCTTACACCATATGTAAATATAAACTCAAAATGAATTAAACGCTTAAATGTAAGACCTGAAACCATAAAACTCATGGAAGAAAACACAGGCAGTAACCTCTTCGACATTAGTCTTAGCAATATTTTTTTAATATACTTTTCTTTGTTTCAGAGAGGAAGGCAGCAGGAGAGAGAGATAGAAACATAAATGAAGAGAGAGAATCATTGATCGGCTGCCTCCTGCACACCCCCACCAGGGGTAGAGCCCACAATCCAGGCATGTGCCCTGACTGGGACCTCCTGGTTCATACGTTGACACTCAACCACTGAGCCACGCCAGCTGGGTGGTCTTAGCAATATTTTCTTGGATATGTCTCCTCAAGCAAAGGTAACAATAACCAAAATAAACAAATGGACTACATCAAACTAAAAAGCTTTTGCACAGCAGAGAAAACAATCAACAAGACAAAAAGGCAACCTACTAAATGGGAGAATATATTTGCAAATGATATATCCAATAAGGAGCTAATAACCAAAATATATAAAGGACTTATATAACTCAATATCAAAAATAAGCAATCCAGTTAAAAAATGGGTAGAGGACTGAATAGACACTTCTCCAACATGGACATACAGATGGCCAATAGACACATGAAAAGATTCACAACATCATTAATCATCAGGGAAATGCAAATCAAAACCACAATGAGATATCACCTCAGACCTGTCAGAATGGCTATTATCAAAAAGTCAACAAATAATAAGTGTTGGCGAGGATATGGAGAAAAGGGGAACCTTCATGCACTGTTGGTAGGATTGTAAATTGGTGTTGTCACTATGGAAAACAGGATGAAGATTCCTCAAAAAAAATAATAAATAGAACTAGGTGTCCGTCAATAGATAAAGAAGATGTGGTACGTGTATACAATGGAATATTACTCAGCCACAAAAAGAATAAAATCTTGCCATTTGCAACAACATGGATGGGTCCAGAGAATATTATGCTAAGTGAAACAAGTTGGACAGAGAAAGACAAATACCATATGCATTTACTTATATGTGGAATCTAAAAAACCAAACAAATGAACAAAGCAGAAATGGACTCATGGATACAGAGAACAAACTGATGGTTGCCAGAGAGGTGTAGGTGAAGTGAATGGGCAAAAAGGATGAAGGGAAGTAAGAGGTAGAAATTTCCAATTATAAAATAAATAAATCACAGGAATGTAATGTACAGCATAGGGAATATATTCAGTAATATTGTAATAATTTTGTATGGTGACAGATGGTTACTAGATTTATTGTGGTGATCACTTTGTAAGGCATATAAATGTCAAATCACTATGCTGTACACTTGAAACTAATATAATACTGATGTCAACTATAATTTTTAAATCAATTAATTTAAAATAACAAATAAAAATATAAGCTATATAAAATCAAATATTTTTTAAATTTAAAGGAATCAGCCTGGCCAGCATAGCTCAGTGGTTGAGCATTGACCTATGAACCAGGAGGTCCCAGGTTTGATTCCAGGTCAGGGCACATGCCCAGGTTGTGGGCTCGATCCCCAGTAGGGGGCATGCAAGAGAAGCCAATCTATGATTCTCTCTCATTATTGATGTTTCTATCTCTCACTCCCTCTCTCTTCCTCTCTGAAATCAATTAAAAAATTTTTTAAATTAAAAAAATAAAGGAATCAACTAGGTGGCATTCGAATTTTTAAAGCCATTTTAAAAATACAAAGCTCTAAGGAACATTTGAATCTGTGTGTGTCTCTCCTCAAGTGTGTGTGTGTGTGTGTGTGTGTGTGTGTGTGTGTGTGTGTTTGGGTAGATAAGCTGGGTTTGGTTATTGGAAGATGAGTATATGTTTATTTCTTTGAGTTCATCATGGGAGTCTAAAATTTGAATTTTTTTAACTTGTTGTAAGGTCCCAGCTCACTAGGGAAGGGGCTATAATTTATGATCTTTACGCTGAAGGTGAAAGACCTGATGCTGTGCCCAGGTGGGGCCAAGAGAGTAAAAAAGCATGAAGGCTGGGCAGCTGGCCTCAGCCCAAGAAGGACAATCGGAAGGGAGTTTTCTCCTGAACCAAGGAACTACCCACTATGAAAATCTGGCCTAAGAGATAGCTCCCCTGGAATCATATTAGCCAGTCCTTTATCCTTCACTCGGGGAGCAGAAGCGGGTGCTGGATGTTCTCTCCAGCATGCTCCCCAAAGGGGACGGGAAGTGTGAGAAGCAGCTCCAGAAAAACTCCCCTCCGACCCTTCCCCTTCCACCCCAGCCTGCTGGACTATCCATGAACTGACAACCCATTCTTTCTGAGCTCTCCATTCTGTTCCTTTGGTCGTTTATGTTTGCAAGCCGGTTCTATTGTACCCAATTATCACTATGGGCTCTGTAATATACCTCAGTATCTGGTGGTGTGTGTCCTAAAGGACATTTCATAGATAGACTCTAACTTCTCCCCTTCATAAGGGAAAGAGAAGGCAGAAAAACAACTTACGAATGTTCTCTCTCACAACTGGGCATTTTCAGGACAAACCTGTATGCTGACTTGGTTTGAGGCACAGCCTATGAGCTGAAGGCTCCAAAATGTATGTCCAGACCTTGGTTTCTGCAACTGCCTCCACACTGGACTATCTGCCTCCAGCCTCACTCCCCAAGGCTGCTTAGAGTGACCTTTCAAAACTTGGTATCTGCATATGTCACCTGTACCTTCAAACCTTCGAACCACAGGATGAAATCCAAATTTCTGAGTTGCACACCAGAGCTCTATGACCCAGAACCCTGCTTCTCTAACTTCAGAGAAGCTCCCTAGACAACCCCCACCACTTGTACCCAACACTTCAGCCATTCTTCATTACCTCTGTTCTAAAACTCATCTGTCCTTGTCCCTCCCTCCCAACATTTGCACCTGCTACTTCCCTTCGCTTAGGCAGCTCTCTGCCCTTCTCCCTCATTTCCCCATTTCTACATGTCCAGTTCCAGAGTTCTCCCCTCCATGGAGCCTCCCGACTCCTCTCTCCACCCCACCCCACATCCCACCACCACCACCCCAATGCACCAAGCTGCAGCATAATTACTTCTGTGCTTCTCCCTGATCTTGAGAACTCGGACAAGAAAGAGGCTCTCAATAAAATGTTCACTAGGGAATGAACTTAAGCAAAGGGCCAGCAGGTGGCTGGATCAAGTTTTAGAGGCCTCTGATCTTCAAGCAGGGAAGTGGAGTTCATGTAAAATCACTGTGTGGACTGAGACGCATTCCTGGGTATGGAAGTGATGAGAATAAACACCCGTTTTAGTAAAAGTAAACTAGCAATGCCATGCGGGATGGAGTGGATGATGGCGCAACATTGGGCTGGAAATTACAGGAGGAGGCTGCTGCACATGACAATGGTCTCTGCTGAAGCTGCCAAGAGCAAAAATGGAAAGGAGGGGCCAATGTCGAGAATTCGTGTGATGCTCTAGCTGCTGGATCTGCGAACATTCTAGAAATGCTAATAGCAGCAGTTGTCAACTGTTATAGGCAACTGAGGAAGGTGACACACACACAACCTCCTAGGTGAACACCCCAGTCCATGGGTACCTGACTCTCCTGCATTTCGACTTTTCTCTCCATCCTCGAAGTCAGTGGATTTAAGAGAGCTATAGTTAAATGTCCATGAAATGAATTCGACCTCAAGAGTCATTCTGTTCTCTATTCATTGTTGTTTGCCCAAAATGTGGTAGGAGGGAGGCCTGCAGGGAGGAGACCCTCCTACCTGAGCTCCATCCGGCAGCCTATGGTTCCCGCTCAGACGACACGTCTCCCTCGGCCCCACTGCTGGCACTGCGGTCTTCTTTGCGAGGAGCGTTTCGTTCTTTGCTTGATTCAGAAGGCCCTTTGGCTCTGGTCTTTTCTTTCCTCTGCTGTTGTTTTTCCAGCTTTGACAGCTGATTATCAAAAGTAAAAAAAAAAAAAAAATTATTTTACAGATGTAAACATGTGCCTAAATATCCAAAACACCAATTACTTCACAAACAGCAACCATTGAAAAAGCTTTTATCGGATAACCTGGTGACCACAGTGGTTTCCCATGTGCCAAATTATACACAAAATGTTTATCAGTCAGGTACCTGCATCATTAACACAGATTAGCCATCCATGTGATCTCTCTCAGACTCCCCCCATAACTCAACTTGTCATGTGGTATTTGAGAAAAGTCAATCAACAGGAGCCCTACAAATGGAGAGGCTCTTAGTCGAATTTTTTTCTTTGATGTCGCTATAGTTTTTTTCTTACCAAGTTGTCTTCCCATTTTCTGTTTTTTAAAAAGTGATCAAAACACTCCACTATATGCTAAAGATAAGAGAGAGACTGTGAATAAAGTACGTTATTCAGACATCGTTTTTGTTCTTTGAGACTGCACTTGACTCATCCACAGCCAAAACTCCACGTGCTCCTACCAGGCTGGTGGTGGCTACACAGGGACACTGTCCATGGGAACCCACTCAGATGTCCTCCAAACCATCTGGGGACATGCCTGCAACATCCAACCCCAAAGGATCCTGAGTCTACTTCTCCCCTGGATATCTCCCCAAACTGTCCAAAGAAACCACAGACTAGATGATCAAAAGAAACTTAGATCATCAGACAGTCTGAGCAACAGCACAGCCACTCCCGAAAGGCCTGCTGAGACACGTGCCGAGAACACTGGCCAAGTTTTGACCCATGGAATTTTCTTGGACCAAAAAAGTCATCTGTAACAGTCCAAGGGACAGCAACACCCAGTTCCATCTGCCTCCCAGACCACGACTGCAAACATTTTCTGGTTCACATGGAAAGGAGGCTTTTCTCAACTGGTTCCTGCTCCATCTCCAAAGACAAAGAAAAGTCACCGTGACCAAGCCACCAGATCATCTCTATATTACAGAGAGACTTTGAGCTAAATCGTTAGGTAGATCAACAATCAGAAGCTCTCAATTTGGTCCAGAAAACCAATTTTATGGATAGCTGACGTGGGATGTTATCTTTCCCATTCCTTGTTGATCTGAAAAGCTGGGTACTAAACAACTAGATTGGTTAACATGCTAACTAGATTTTGTGAACGAAGACATCACTTCACCTTTGACCCACCAACTCTCCTTCCAAGTAACTTCCCTAGATAAATTCACACTCGCATGGGCAGGAAAGGCTCATAGGAATGTGCACTGCAGTGTTGTCTGTATTAGCAAAAACCTAGAAATAACACAAATGTCCACTGACAGGAGGATAAATAAATACAATGTGGTATAGTCACAAGAAGTAAAAGTGTAAAGCAGTTCTACATGTATCAGAATAGGTGAGTCTTTAAAATCATGTTATGTGAACTAAATTAAATTTCAGAAAGCTGTATAAAGCAGGATTCCATTTACACAAAACAACACTATGTATTCTAATGGGCTCATGCAGATCCAGTATGGACTGGAGAATATAAACCAACTTCAGTACATTAGTTAACTTTGGAGAGAAAGAGAAGAAAATGGGATCATAGTGGAATGAATATATATGGGCTTCAAGTGTTAACTTTCACTTCTATAAAAACACAACCAGAAACAAGATGGCGGCATAGGTAAACACCGGAGTTTGCTGCCTCGAACAACCACTTCAAAAATACAACTAAAAGACGGAACGGACATCATCCAGAACCACAGGAAGGCTGGCTGAGTGGAAATCCTACAACTAGAAGGACAGAAAAAACCATACCGAGACTCAGAGGAGGCGCAGTGCGGAAACTTCAAAAAAACTAAAAGACGGAACGGACATCATCCAGAACCACAGGAAGGCTGGCTGAGTGGAAATCCTACAACTAGAAGGACAGAAAAAAAAA